GTCATTCTGGATTTTACACAAGTCAACTTTATTGATTCTGTTGGTGTAAAAACTCTGGCAGGGGTAAGCATCATGTTAAACAAGTCATTTAATATCTCTGTGCCAGTGAAAGCTGAGAGTTGAACTAGGGCCCCTTTTCAACTCAAAACTGTTTTTTGTTGCTGTTTGTTTCAGCTTTTGATTGTGGAAAATTCCAGAAATATACAAAAGTCAAGATTATAGTGTAATGAATCCCTGTGTAACTATCACTCAGGTTAAAGAATTTTCTATTTAGGGTCTGTCTCATGTCATTTATTCCCCACACGCTCTTATTTTGAAGCACATCACATCATCTGTAAATATTTTAGTATTTATCTGTAACAGAAGATTCTTCTAAAAATCATTGCCATAATACCTTTATTACAACTAAATAAAATTTAGCAAGGACTCTCTGATATCCCTAATTATCACTGTATAGAAAACTTACAAGAAATACCATCTTATTTTTAAATGATTAGCTCACAAATGCATAAGATAATTATCGAAGCAAAATAGCTCAAGTAAATGAACTCAAGTGTCTGTGTCACTAAATATGTATTGGTAGAGCAAGAGTTTCCGCTGGCACACAGTCAAGAGAAACTAACCTTTACTACAACATTATTACAGATTGTGAAAGAATACGGAGATGTCGGCATTTATGTGTATTTAGCAGGATGCAGTCGTGAGTACACTTCTACAAGGGGGAGGAGTTTTAACATTTTGGTTTTGTTTCTCTCTTTTTAATAACTGCACTTGGAAATATTTTTCCTTAACTTTACTTTTTGGTGAAAATGAAAACTATTCTGAAAATCACCCTAAACCCAGCTTTGAAATTAGCCACTTATCCGCCCCCCTGTCCCTGGGCTACCCGTGGCAGGCCTCCTGACCTGGGGTTGGAAGAAAGGAGATAGTAAACCATGGCCCTGGGCTGGTGCATATTTTGATAATTATTTAATGGCTGCCATAAACATGCTTATATAAAATCACAGGTTTTTCCATATATGCCTGCTATTTTTGTTTTATATTAAATTTTGGCTAAAAGTGCTTGAAAATGAAATCTACATAAAGACATCACTTTTCACCTACCAGAATGGCAATGAACAAAACTGTTTGATGACATGCATATGTGGCCACCACAGTACTGCCTGTAAAACAACAGACTGGAAAAGACTCAAGAGTCATACAAAAGGGACCAGTTAAACAAACAAGGGTAACATCCACACCATAGAATACCATGTAGTGGTAAAAATGAAGTAAGAACATCCAGTAGAATATACGTAGTACGCTGTCTTTTGGTGAAGGAAAAGGCGTGAAATAAGAACATATTTTTTTATTTACTATATTTGTATAGAGAAATTGTGAAAGAATGCACAAGAGAATAAAAGTACGTTCCTGCGACTGAGGGTGTCGCCACAGGAACAGGGACTGGAGTGAGACTTTTTATAATATTTAATATTTAGGGTACATGAAAGTGTTACTTTTTTTTTTAATGTTCAAAGTGGATACCCAGAGCGCAGACTAATTTTCTTCTCTTCTTTTATAGCACAAGTTGTGAATGACCTCACTCAAAATCAGTTTTTTGAAAATCCCGCCCTAAGGGAGCTGCTGTTCCACAGCATCCATGACGCAGTGCTAGGCAGCCAGGTTCGGGAGGCGCTGGCTGAGCAGGAAGCCTCGGCCCTGCCTCCCCAGGAGGACCTAGAGCCCAATGCTGCTCCTGAAGCGTAGAGGAGGAACTCAGCCTGGGGTGGGGTGTGAGCTGCTCGGGAAACTACCAATTTACACATTTTAAATACTAGACACTAGCTTTATTTTTCTAAGGGTAAATACTAGTAAAGGCTTGATTTGGAGGATGAATGATGCATAGCAAGATGTATCTTACTTGTGGTTTGCTTGTTTTTTTTCATTGAATATTTCAAAGATAAATTAGCCTTTTGCCTGCATTTTTGTGCAGTGACATTTCTGTTACTTTTTAGTAGGGTCTTGGTAAGCTTAAAGATTTATTTTCTTTAAGCACTTTACCTACAATTCAGACATGCTGCCACCAGGTGCGTAGTACTTCCTTTTGTAGGTGTTGGTCTACAGACTTTGTGTAATCAGAGTTACCAACAGAGGAGGGAGACCCACAGTTTTCTCAAGCCCTTCTTTTTAAATAACCTTTTATTATTATCAAAGCAATGTAAGTGAACTGCAAACAATTTTTTTAAATAGGAAAGCAAAAGTAAGAAATAAAAACATTCTATTGCCACCACTCAAACATTATCACTAACACCTTAATGCATCCATATCCTTCCAGATCTTTTTCTATGCATATATATTTACATCTTTTAACCAAAAGTAGATCACAGTGTATATAATGGTCTGTGACCTTTCCTTTTTTGTTCAGTCAACCATCTCTACTTTCTCATTCCAGAAAATTTTTACCTCAGGCCATATTCACATTTCCCCAGTTGTCTCCAAATTTGTAGTTGGTCTGTCCAAACTAGTACCCAGTCTATGACCTTATGCTACAGCTGGTCATGTCTCTTAAGTCTGTCTTAATCTAGCTCAGTCCCTTGTATGATGGCATTGACTTGGTAAGGAGACAGGGGCAGTTGTCCCATAGCGTCCCAACTTGTGAATGTGTCTGCTTGCTTTCTGAAGGTGTTAGCTTGTCCTTTGATTTCCTGAACTACCTATAATCTAGAAATTATATCTAAAAGCTTCATGGATTTGAATAAAACTGTTTTTGCTAGAATATATCATAAATGAGACAAATACTTCAAAGGGCATCACTCCAGAAAATATGTAATATCAAGTTGACTCACCCCAACGATGCTAAGGTAGTCACTGGATTAACATGACAGCCTAATCCCCAGTTTCACTCTCTTCTTTATGACTAGTGAGTTATCTATGTGGTGTTCCTTTGGCATTGAATGAATGCCCAGTTCACCAGCAGCATTCACCCAGGGGTTTTAACATCCAGTGATAATCTTTGCCTAAGTAATTTTATTAAGGTTTGTGAATTTTATTTCCAATTCTCTCATTTCATCTGCATTTATTAGTTCGTGTTACATGTAAACTACATACAGCTTCCCCTCCTCAACTGGAGCTTAAGTACAGTTCTTACTGGAAAGGCAGGTTAAATGTTGCATCTTTTCCATTTAATTACCAACTTCAAAGTAAGGAGTTGGTTTAATAGCTGGTGACAAATTAGGTTCTTTTGGATTTCTTCTTTGGTATAATTGTAGACTCCTAATTTTTATAGTTTTAATGTGCTTCCATCAATTATGGTTATTCTTCTTGGCACTTAAATTGTTAACAACTGTGGCCAGTAGGAGCCCCTAGAAGTTTTGTTCATAGTGAAGTAGCCTTGAAGACTATGTTATTTAAGAAAGCTAACTCCTACATACAGTTTAGTATCTTCCTTAGAAGTCCATACAAGTTCAGTTAGTTCTTCATCAAACTCAGTTTGAACCCTGTCTGTCGGTGAAGCACTTTACAGCTATTCAGAAGGAGTGGTGGCAACTTCAAGCCAATTTATCATCAGAAGGCCTTGCTCCCCTGGTCCTCCCGACCCACTCATTCCAAATCAAAGCACAAGCATTAGCCAAACAGCCTAAAGCCCCCTCTGCTAAGATTTCCTACTCATAGTCAGTTTGTCCTTTACTATGTTGCCTTGACTCCTTGTTTTAGTTTTCATGAAAAAAACCCCACCTGAAGAAAAGCAGTTAGGTCCCAGGAAAGAACTATGTTAGCATGCATCTATGCCAGACCAAACCCTATGGTTTGTTTGCTTTAATTCCCATCAGGTTTCTTAGTGACTTGACTAATCTAATTCAAAGTAGACCTCCTCCTTTCTAGTTAATACTTTAGCTATAAAATCAAATTAGATTTGTGCTCAGTTACTTCCTTTACAATCATCACACGCAAGATCAGATACATCTGCATTCTGATACAGACTGCCTTCTGAAAGAGCATATATTTGTAGAACCTCGACTTATACTAAAAACTTTTGTAAAAGGGCCGGCATCATGTCAGCCATTCAAGTAGAACTTACAGATTTTAAATAATGTTATAAAATATATCATTGCTTACTTGTTAGGAACTCTTTAGCAAATGTGCTATACACAGTAGATACGCAATCCTAGCTGTAGATTGACAGTAGTGTATAGAAAAAGAATTTGTATCTTACAAATGTGTGTTTAACTGTTAATTTTTAACCTGTTTTGAGTAGAATTCTACCATGTACATAAAAAGCACCAAGTCTTACTGAAGGGAAATTATGTTGTTTCAACATGCCTCTGAAAACCTAAGAATGCATTTCAAAATGTTTTTTATCTATATGTAGATATGTTGGAATGTTTTACTTAGAATTACTTCATATAGTTGAAAATTCCTGACCTTTTTTACTTATGAATTTTGTCTCTACTTGTTTTCAAAGCTAGCCCTGGTTCATGTTCAGATTCTTACTGCCCTATCAAAATGGCATAATCCATTTATAGATTAGGGACCAGACTCACCTTATTTTATGGCAATATAGGGAAGCCCTGTTTTCAGGAAGGTCCCATATAAAGAAGTTGTTTCTTTCTCAAGTCTTGCACAGTATGACAGTGTTTGATCTCTACTTCATGGATGGTTGGAATTATGTTTGAAAGCAATTGTGAACCAAGAACCAGGAAACTCCTAATTCATGTCAGAGACATGGACTCAGCAGATAATCACATGGTAGATTCTAGTGAGCTCCCAATTGCCAGTCTCATCTGCAGTGAGACTCAGAAACAACAATGGATGTGAATCCTCCCCAAGCCCCGCAAGCAGCTCATTTGGAACTTTTCTGGTAACAGCTAAAATACCCAATCCACATGATTTAATCCTGAATCCTTGTTCATTAACAGAGAAAAGTTGTGTCTGCCTCTAAAGGTACATTGTGAGAATGAGTCTGCCCTCACTGAATGAGTGTGCATGGAGAGGGTAGCAATCCCAGAGAATCTGCCCCAGAGTGGGTAGGTGTTTTTTTCTGTACTTTGGGTTTTGGAGTTGTGTGACCTTGTGTGGGGATGAGGGAGGGACAGGGAGGGAAGGCCTCATCTACTATGTCTGCCCCTTTAAAGAGAGCAAATTAATATAAATCCTCAAATCATAACTTCCTCGGTGTGTGTCTAGAACTGCAGTGAAGTAAGTCAGTGACTGCAGAAACACTGTTGGTCCTTCTTAGTGTACCTCTCAGGGATGCTTTTAGGATTTGGTGTGTTTATATTCTTGAGAATATGGTTTCTGAGTGCTGATAAAAGTTGGCTTGGGCACTGATTATCTAATTCTCCAAATAGCCAACCAAAACACATACAATGGTTTTGGGACCCCTCAAATTCCAACAAAATGTTCAAAAGCTAGTACTGCAGCAGGTTAGACTTGGATTTGATCCAGTTTGAACATTTCAGAAATCTATCTTGCCATTGAAAAAGGCTTACCAGATCTTTTGTAGTACTGGTGTATAGCATGTCATTTTATGTAACACATGAATCTGAGCTTTGTGGAATTTAAATTTTTATGAATCAACCATTTTTTAAATGTTAGAAAAATATTTTTTAAAGTATTACTACACTATTATTTTTCTAGTCATAAACTCTTTGTATTCGGGTTTATCAGCACCTTGGTATATGTATATACATATGTGTTCTTCTGTACACACGTATGTATACACACACGTGCACACATACACACACATTTTAGGTGGAAGGAGTTAACCAGCGAATATCTGTCTTTTTAAATAGGGCACAAACCTGGTAACCTAGATGGTACTGATGCTATCTGCATATACATGCCTGGACAGAAACACTCAGACTTTTCAAATAATCCATTGTACATTTGATTGTGGCCAGCTAGATTTTCATCATGTAACTGAGATGTCAGTATTATTCAGAGCAAGTATTATGTTAGGACTAAATGAGCTCAACATAACCAGTTTGGATTGTCTCAAATTGGTACATATGATGAGTATGTGGCTATATGAAAAAGTGGTTAAGACTTTAAAGGGTATGTTTTAAATGCTTATATTTATTAAAACATTACAAAAATATACATCTTTAGTAATTTACTCAAGTATCTTATTCCAAGCCTGTCCTGAAAATGGTTCACTCTATTTCACACCTCATGACAGAGTAGGGGTCTTAGAAAAATTTTTCTGATTAAAAAAAAAAAGTCAAGGATGTTGACTTTTATGAATACCTTTACAAATTTCTGCTTGAAATTTTTCATATTTAATATTTCAATTCAATACTTGTAACATATTCTAGGTTGTCAACTTTTCCTTTTGCGAATTAAAATGTATCCAGCTTTGTTTTGCACTATGAATATTGAACTGCAATAAAAATATTCCTTATTGTGCTTGGGGTCTGAGTATTTTCGGGGGTGGGTAAGGAGATAACTGTGGTGGAAGACGGGAGACGATTTAGTGGTGATTGCACAGGAAATAATTTTAAAGAGATCTGTTGAAGATTCAGTAACAGAAGCTTTACCAAAATTTTAAACCATTAATTTATAAAATGAAAATAAGCACTTCTTTGTATGAAGCCAATTCTAGGCTTTCTAAATTACAGCTTTATGTATATATTTTTTTCTTTCTGCTTTACTCTTTTGCTGGTCATGAAAATCAATAGTTCTTCTAGATTAATTTGAAATGAACTCAAATGGCAAAGCAAAATACATTACATTGGATGTTTCTTCCACTTTAAAAAAACTGAAAAAGTTTAATTTTTCAACATGGTAGGAAAAACACATTGAAATGTATGTCGTCATGTGCACAGATGGGCAATTTTGATGGGGGCAGAAGAGCAGAATTGTGAGGAGCACAGGTGGTGGACCTGACAGACTTGGACTTGAATGCCAACTCTGCTACAAGCTCATCAGTGAGGAAAGGTTTTGCGTCTATTAGATCAAGATCCACTAGATCCCCTCACTGGGCAGATGGGAGGATACAAGGTGATATATGTACAGCACCTAGCCAGCTCGTGTCTAGAACATACATGGTCTAAGCAAGCACTTTAAGATGTAGAACCTTACATGGTAGTGGATCAAAAACAGGCAACATACATTATAATAAGCCCTTCTGCCTAATGACATTAGACATCACTTTTTATTGTACTACAGAGAAAAGACATCTGTAAAACATGCAATTTTGAAACCATTTATTTGTATGAAATGGTTATTAACAAGTCTCGAAAAGGTTAGGATTCCGATTAAAAGAAGTGATTTCATGACAGCCATCAGGGCTCAGTTGTAGGTCATATAGCGGGGAGTAGCACTGAATTTAGCATAGGACTTAATGACCTTATTTACAGCTTCCAAGAAATCCTTCTCAGTAGCAATTTTTCGCCGAGCTCTGATAGCAAACATACCAGCTTCTGTGCAGACACTTCTAATCTCAGCACCTTTAAAGTGAAAAGAAAACAATAGACTGAATTAAAGCAGCCTGCATAGACAGATCAGCAAATATAGTAAGCAAGACTTTCAACCTACCAGTGCTATTTGGACACAGTCGTGCTAACAATTCAAATCTGATGTCTCTTTCAACACTCATTGAACGAGCATGAATCTTAAAAATGTGAGTCCGACCCTGAAAACAGGGGCATTGACAAATATTAAAATGGAAAAACATCCAAGAAAAACTCCAAGAATCTCTTTTCCTAAGATGAAATGATTTTCTTACCTCTAGATCAGGTAAGCTAAACTCAATCTTCCTATCCAGTCTCCCTGGCCTCATCAGCGCTGGATCCAAAGTGTCAGGCCGGTTAGTGGCCATTAGCACTTTAATGTTGCCTCGAGGATCAAAACCATCCAGCTGATTGATCAGTTCCAACATGGTTCTCTGCACTTCATTGTCACCTCCAGCACCATCATCAAAACGAGCTCCTGAAAAGACAAAAGGAAAGACAGCCTCTTCAGGTCCACTTAGAGTAGCACTAGGCGTAACTGGAAAGCACCGTGAATCTCAGTCCAATCACACTCTACAGCGCAAGTGGGCTCTCACTTTTAAGCAAATCCTTTAAGAACAGCCGGCTTTACACAAAACTAATCAGAAAGGGAATCTTTCAAAAGGATCATCATAGATTTAATTTTGGCTCCTTTTTAAATCCTCTTCGAGGAATTTCATTTTTTAAATCACTCAAGAACACCTCCATTGTTTAACACAATATACACCCAGACTGGGCAATAGAGCACATGCGAACCTTAGCACTTTAATGGTGGTTGAATGGACAAGAAAGTGTCATACTCCCTCCAATGAGTTCTACACAATGATATAAAGGGCATATAAAAGTGTAGGCATAGGGTCTGTTTGTGTTTATGCAGAGGATCAAAGCCTAATTTGGCTACCCCGAAAATGAACTAAGATACAATATGAAAAAGAACTTCCAACATCAGCACTCTCGGGAAGACTCATGCCAGAAGATGACC